CCGCCGACGACGCGCACCACCACCACCACCACCACCCCGACCCCGCCACCACCCCCTCCCCGGAGACCGCCGCTTCGCAGGCGGCGGCGGCGGCCGCGGCGGCGGCGGCGCCGCCTCCCCCGGTCCCCGCGGTGCCCGCCAAGGTGCGGCTGATGGTGAGCTACGGGGGCCGCATCCAGCCGCGCCCGCACGACAACCAGCTCTCCTACGTCAACGGCGACACCAAGATCCTCTCCGTCGACCGCCCGCTCCGCTTCCCCGACTTCTACGCCCGCCTCGCCGGCCTCGCCGCCGCCCGCGCCGACCTCTGCGTCAAGTACCAGCTCCCCGGCGAGGACCTCGACGCGCTCGTCTCCGTCACCAACGACGAGGACCTCGACCACCTCCTCATCGAGTACGACCGCCTCCACCTCTTCCGCGCCGCGCCGGGATCTGGCAGCTCGTCCAGGGGCGGCTCCACGCCCCGGCTCCGCGTCTTCCTCTTCACCGTCGCCCCGCCCCCGCGCCCGGCATCCCCGCCCAAGCAGCCGCCGCAGCAGGACCTGCAGCGCGACTGGTACCTCGACCTCAAGTCCGCCAGCCCGCCTCCGCTGCCGCAGGCCCTGCCGCCCCCGCCGGCGCAGATGCAGAGCCAGCAGATGCAGCAGCAGCCGCAGATGGTGATGAAGCAGGAGACGGCGCCCGTCCAGTCGCCCCCTCCCGCGGCGCCCATGGCCGTGCCGCAGTCGGTGGTGGCGGCGTCCAAGACGGGCCCCGACTACCTCTTCGGCTTCGACTACGGCTTCATGCCGCCGCCCGCGGTCAAGGTCAAGGACCCGGCCGGCGATCCGCCCAAGATGAGAGACAACGTCCCCGTCGAGATCCCGCCCAAGAACGAGGACCGGCACCCCAACCCCAACCCCGCCGCCGACAACAACAACAACGCCATGGTGTCTCCCGCCGTCTCGCCCGCCGAGTTCCCTCGCCAGATCCCGGACCTCGACAAGCTCCAGCTCGCCGACAACGCCACCCAGCAGCAGCAGCAGCAGCTACCACCAGCTCCTGCTCCTGCTCCGGCTCCCCAGGCCGCCCCTGCTCCTGCTCCGGTCGTCGCCCCGGCCGCCCCTGTCCCAGCGCCCTTGTCGAGGAACGGCAGCGACGACTCCCTCACCCGCGCCTACCCTCCAGCCACCGCCACCCCGACCGCCGCAGCAGAGTACTATGTCACCAAGTTCCCGGAGAAGCCCCCAGTCCCGCCTCCATCATCGGCTCCCCCCGCGGCGGCCTTCCTGCCGGTGCCGGGCAGGTATGGATCTGTTGCCCCTGGCTCCGGCGCTGACCCTGGCCCTTTCTTCTTCATCCCGGCGCCGCCCCACGGGTACTACACCAGCGCCAACCCCGGCGGCACCTCCTACTACGCCGTCCCGCACAACAACGGCAATGCCAACGGGAACGGCACCGCACCGGCCCCCGCCGTGTCGAGCGCTCAGGGCTACCCGCAGGTGGCGTACGACAGCAACGGCCGCGCCGTCTACTACACCGGCCTGCTCCCACAGTACCCTTCGGCCGTCAACGGCGGCGGCATGTCGGCTTCCTCGGCGGTGCTCGGCACGGAGCCGTCGAAGCCGGTGGCGGTGAAGCCGACCGTCTCGTGATCGACCGCCAGCTCAATCCAAAATTCAGTATGGGTTAACAGAGTCTGCCAGCCAATTTTCGTTCGTTCGTTCGTTGGATCGTCCAAGTCAATATGGGTTAAATATGTGTCGAAGTTGGAATTCGTTATTGTGTCTAGTAATTCACCTATAATTTTCCCCTTTTGTTTAGAAGAAGTTTTTGGATTTGGGGTTCGTTGGTTCTGTGATATGCAACTAGGAGTGAGTGCTGCTGCTTGGTGTGCTTAATTAGATGTACATACGATCCTTTGTGGACATAATGGATATTATATTAGCATGTTGGAGAGTTGTTTAATTAACTGCATTGCCTCTTGAGTTTTGTCACTGCTGCTTTGTTTTGTTTAATCATGTTGAGTTGATTATGTTGTTGCCAATTGTCAATGTGGCTAAATTGGCCATGTGATCTTTTGTGTTCTTTCGAAGCAAAGATATGAATGAGGATGCAAATATCCCAGTGAAGCTCCTATTATTTGTTATGTTATTGCTAATGTCAATGTCAGCAGTGCAATGTGGCTAAATTGGCCATGTGATCTTTTGTGTTCTTTCGAAGCAAGATATGAATTGAGGATGCAAATATCTCAATGAAGCTGGTACTGTATTTGTTAATGTGCATACCAACTAGTAGCTCTGCAGAATGGAAGCTCTCGTCTGATGAAGCACAGTGGCTTCCTGTGTTCTTCACGGGGAGCTAGGCTGCTGCATTTATGTATGTGTATGAGCAGCCGTGAATGCTGGTTGTTGTGTTCATGTAGCAGCACGGGAGCTAACCATGATTATCTATCTATGTCGGCTGTGGTTTCTGATTCTCTCAGATTATGAATTGCTGTTTCGTCGTTTTTGGTTCATGATAACCATGATTATTTAGGCTGTTGCTTTTTGATTCGAATGTTGTTTCAGTCGTTTTTGTGAGTTTAGTGCTCACCTGTGGGCAGTGATTTTTTCCTGAAGAGAGCAGAGCACATTGGTGTTCTGCTGATCAGCTGGTGAGAATTAACTGAGAAGCTGAGATTTGACCAAATGTCGGGCCATGACCGTGCGTGTTAACTTCTGTCAGGCTGTGTGCTTTAATAATCAGGCAGCTGCGTCTGCAGGTAACACAACATGCCTTGTCTCTGGGCCAGGCCTGATCATACTGATGATATTTATGCTGTCAACAGGAGTCATCATCATGCTGATGATGCTGTATCAAGACACCCGAGCTGTGCAAGACAGTTTTTGTCTCTGTGAAATGAAATTTATCCTCCCTGTGCTGGGCAAAGTGCATATGCTTATCTGCGTTACTGCTACTGCCGCATATCCTACTCTCTATCCATCCTGACCTCTACTGTTGTGAACTTGTGATGGAAGTGTGGAGAGGGAGACCGGGAAAACGCGGGAAGAAGCTGCATAGCAAGGAGGATCTTTCATTCATTCTTTCGAGGTGCCATTGGAGGCAGCATCAGTCCGCCACCACCATCATCATGCTCATGCTGCTGCTGATACATGCTCATGCCCCCTTTTGGGCAAAGATGTTTTGCCATGGCTTTTTGACCAAAGTGCAGTGTAATCCAATGTGGCCCTAGGTCTGGGTGTATCTGTATATATTATCTGCTGTTGCCGCTTTTGCTAACCTGGCTCCGGCTGTCTATCATCGGCAGCAGATGCAGGGCAGGGTAGGGGGCATCTGTGGTTCAGACCAGACCTTGGTCTTGTTGGTCCGGTGGTCGAGCCGGCCGGAATCTCTCCCCGTCTGCCAGGCATGCTGATGCTGCAGTGGCAGCTTGGACCTGTGAAGAAGGCAGCAGCAGTGGATCCATGTGCCTTGTTGCCGCAGTGCTGCTCCAGTGGAGGAACCGAGGTGAGGCGAAAGAGCACTGTTTCCACCAAGAGGCTGCATCTGCGTGCAGGTGCAGCCATGGCGTGGCGGCACATGGAGGCTGGCATGGCATGGCATGGCTGCCCATGCCCATGCCGCCGGCTTGGGGACGGACGGAGATGCCGGTGCTGGTTAGCTAGCCGGCGATAGCTTTCAATGCTCGTGTGCGTGGTTGCTGCGGGTTGCGCCGTATTAATCATGTCGCCGGTGATGGTTGCTCATGTGCATGGCGTGACATGGCAACAAACAAACTGACCCCGATGGAGTGCGTGTCCGCGGCATGGGTGACACCACGACTATTACTGTTCAGGTTTCAGCCGAAGTATTATTCAGATTGTTCCTCTGAGTATTATAGTTGAAACCAAAAGCTCCTAACAGGCACTGATTAGGGCGGCCTACCACCCGAAGGTAAACCTGGGGAAGGATTGTATATAGATAGATAAAGGAAAGCGTGGTTACTTTTGAGCTGGTTTGGTTTCGTTTGGTTTGTGTCTCCTCGGCTAGTTCCGAATGGCATGATTGTTAGTACGTATGTTCTCCCGCGGGTTGGGCTGTCCAACCAATCATGGTTATCACCTGGACATGTGATCCACTGTTGAGCACCAGGGCATTCGCCCGCCCATGGGTTCCGCTCAGCCTGTTTTCGAGGTTGTTTTACTGTGCTAACGCGGTGTTCCAAGGTTGACCATGGCGCATGCTTTGGGCCAAAGGAAAAAAGGAGCAAATCTGAGTGGAAGGTGGCTCCGACCACACGACTGATCATACGGCAGAATTTCATGCATACCGTTTTCTACTACTCCCCTCCGATCAGGTTTACAAGAGACATTTCGTTTGTCCGAAGTCAAACAATTTTCACCTTAACCAAATTTATCAAGAAAAAAAAACGTAGAAGCGTGTTTATTTGAGAGGCACAAATTAGCTCGTAGGACATTCATTCATTCACAAATTTGGTTAAGGTGAATACGTACTAACGGTCGTTTTCATGCATACCGTTGGCGAACGCGACCAAATTTACAGAGATAAGCCTCAGGGCAGTGAGATGGTAGGGGTACTATTTTTTTGCTTCTCTGACCAAATTGTGGTGCACGGTCCTTGCCATCTGACACTGGAAATCTACTGGGGTGGATGTCATATGTCGCAGCCACGTGCATGTGCTGGTGGCGTCGATCGTGGGCGCCATCATGGGCACATGTGTTAGTTCTGGTTCTATGTTTGTTTTTTAGCCACGTCCAAACCAGTATGAACTCAACCATAAACTTGACTGAATTTATACTATGGTCGTCTAGTTCTGGTTTCCTTTGACAATGCATCGGCATGGTTCTTTAGAATGGTTAATATTTGGGTTCAAACTGTTTGTTCACTGAATTTCATGCCTGTTCAAAAAGTCAAAGGTTCATAGACTCTCTTGCGTTGAATTTACAAGTTCTTCTGGTTCAAACTGTCTTTTCACTGAACATTTTATGCCGGTTGCATGGTTTTCCTGTCAGCTGAAGTTGATGAACATGGTGACAAAAGTCCTCGATAAGGTCAACATTTAATCAACCTCTGACCCACATACCTGGATAAGCTCAACTTATGCAAAACAAATCAGACAACAATCTTCCGTGTCTGTTCATGGCTAGTACTCCGGCACCAACTTGTCCACCAACACTTTCAAGGATGGAATCTGTAGTCAAAATCACACACAGCGCATGTAATATGTGAGTAGTGGGTTATGGTAAGATTAAACCTACAGCGATTAGTACGTAGTTGCACAAATTTGCTTAATGTATGCAAACATAAGAGGCTGATCCAATGGAATAGAAAAATACATTTGCTTAGTGGAGGAATTCATCCTTGACAATAGGTAAGTCAACTAAGCGGTAGCTTTCAAACAATATTTTGGGCGTAAAGCGTCTTTAGGTGGCTTTTCAAGTCCAACGTCAAATCCCAGGGCTCAACCTGGACACGTGGTGGAAACTACCAAGCTGGAGTATGGTATGGGCAGAGAAAATCTCCTGTGAAGCGGTGAAGTGTATTGAGATCGGATAGAACACCAACGATGAAAGCACTCTGCTGGTCCTTTTGGGTTTCATTGACCAAACAGATACGCTTTGGGCTATGGTTAGCTCAGCTCCAATCAAGAATCCCCAAGGACTATCGGGACGTAAACTCTGAGAAATGGTTTACAAATGTTTGTTCTATTCGGTAGTTTTTTGTTCTATTTCTTGCGAAGTAAAAAAAGAATTTATCATCAGTAAGAGTCAAGGGAATGATCCCCTGGCCCTACAATCCGTTGCCGCCCCATGCCGCTATCCGCAAAGCCAAGGAGATGAGCGACCACAATCGCAATGCCGACCACACAGTCCACCTCCTAGGGATGCCATCCAGCATACCCAGCAAAACCCTCCAACTCCTCATCGATGACAAAATGCGAGGAAGACACCAGCTAGAGGGCAAGCGGTGGGCCTTATGGGCCAAAGGGGGGAAGCACACCAACCCACAAGGGGGCTGGTGTGCCCCTCCACCCCTTGCCCACGCACCAAAGAGGGAGGGAAGGAAAGGGGAGGCGCCCCAAAGGCACCCAACCCCCTTTCCTCACCCCATGCACAAATATGGAAGGGGGGGGGGATTCGGCCAGGGCAGGCGCTGGACACTTGGGGCGCCCTAGGGGCTGCCTCCCCTCCCCCTCCACCTATATATATGAGAGGACGGAGAGGGTCCACACATACCACGGTTCCCTAGCCGTGTGCGGCGCCCCTCTCCCTCTACTTCGTCCTCGGTCATATTTTCGTAGTGCTCAGCGAAGCCTTGCGGAGATAGCTGCATCACCACCGTCACTGTTGGGGAACACGGTAATTTCAAAAAAATTCCTACGATCACGCAAGATCTATCTATGTGATGCATACCAACGAGAGGGGAGTGTATCTTCATACCCTTGAAGATCGCTAAGCGGAATCGTTTATCAACGCGGTTGATGTAGTCGTACACCTTCACGATCCGCCCCGATCAAGTACCGAATGTACGGCACCTCCGCGTTCAGCACACGTTCAGCTCAATGACGTCCTCGCCTTCTTGATCCAGCAAGACGGGCGAAGTAGTAGATGAGTTCCGGCATCACGACGGCTTGGTGACGGTGTTGGTGAAG